GCAGTGCAAGGTGGTGTAGGTGCACATGTATGGTGGGGTGTGTGTGGGACTCACCGTATGAACACACACACTGCCCCTCCCTGTGCGTGCACACGCACACACACTGCCCCTCCCTACACCCTGCTGCCAGCTCCCCCCTGGGTCCTGTTGCCCCTGACTCCTGTCATCTTTGACAGGTAGCCAGGAGCAAATGAATATTAATTTACTAAATTTTTTAGGGGCCCCGTGGGCTGGATAGAATGGCCTGGCAGGCCAGATCCGGCCCACAGGCTGTATTTTGCCCACCCCTGTTCTAAATAGTGGTATTTCTATCAGACCCTGTAAGTCTCTATCCTGACAAAAAAGGACAGCTTGTTTTGTGTTCAGGGAGAGGATAGTGACCAACATGTAAGGCGTTATCAACAGTGATGCAAGTGTATCTGCGTCATCCTGGTATGCCGAATTTTCTTTCTGTTCCTCAGATTGGTATGTCTTTATTAAATATGGAGAAGAATGTAACTCTACCATATTATATCTATTGAAGTCATGGTGACTTGTGCTTCAGATATCCAGTGTAGTGTAGCTATGCAACTTTGCTTACTGTACCTTCTGGACCTGCTCTGAGACTTGAAGATCTCACTGCCCCATGTATTTTAAAACCAGGCCAGCTCTTTTGTGGTCTGCATAATTTCTTTGTCATTAAAAGCTTTTCAAAGCTTGCTTCCTATGAAACAGATGTGACGATTTGTAGCTGGGCATATAATAAACTGTGGATATTTGCCACGTTCCTTCAATATATATAAAATTTACCTGGAGAATTTATGTAGGAGTTACTCTGCATATAGGATGGATCAAATTAGGATTAGCTGGATGCATCTATATGAAATGCTTTAGTGAGCAGCAGACTAATTTGCTGCACAGTAAAGCGTCACCATCTACATGTATGCAGCAATTAGGATGCAGTTGACTAATTTAGTGTGCTGCCAGATAGTCCCATCAGATAAAAGTGGTATCCAGCAATGCAGTAAATTACTGCACATAGACACGCATGTAGACGGTGATGTCAGGATTAGTTTGCTCTGGCTCAGATTGAGCCAGAGTGTATTCAGTCACATTAATTGCACATGTATACGCACCCGCTGTGTGTGTTATCACACTTCAGTATTAGAGCATTTTAAATTTCTGTAATATTGCAACAGGAAAGAAACTTCTGTGGTATCTTTTGTAAAAATTACGAAAGAAATGAACTGTTATCATACTTAATTGCCTTTGTGTTGACTATGTATCCTGTATTGAATCAAATTACTTAGGCAGTGGGCCTATAATCTGTACAGTTATTAGGTTTTATTAACATAAATAGAAAGAAATCTTGCTGCCCAAATGATGTCATGTACCCTGTTTTTGTATGTATTTTTTGTATAATTTCCTTGGCCTTGGGGCAATTTAAACTGGTTCTAAAAATTTCCATGAAGATAAGCAGAGCCATTTCCCAAAATTAGGGACAGATGGCTTCAGTGCTTTAATTTACTTGATTTACTGCCAGATGCTTTTGGAATAGTGCCTTGAAATGTCTGGAATTCAGTCTCCAGCACAATCATGAGAATACCAGGAACAATTACAGAATGTTTGTATAACTGAAATATAAAGATGTATCTCTCTAGGCTCTAGTTCAATAGAGTACTTAACAATGCAGCTAATTTGAAAGATTACGTAGTCTGACTTCAGAGTGACAATTCATAGTGTAATTTGTAGTTATTAGGTATACAAATTTTTAAACAAACTTTCTGGAGGTAGGGCATATCATATCATCACTTCATAATATTGACAGGGAAGAAGCGTGATGAGTTAAAAGTACATTAAGACTGTGTTTTTGTGAATCGGCTAAAACATCCAGAAAAATAGATAGTCGCATTTAAAAATAATAATGTAAAGTAAAGTTTCCCTAGTTACTCTTTCTAGGTAATCTTTCTATTAGTTACATCCTAATGGCAGTAGTGGGAAAGGAAGCAAGAGTTGCAAGAAAAACTTGTCACCTGAAGCTATATTAAACAATTCCTGAACTGGCTGTAATTCAGGACCCTAATGTATTTTATACCATTTCTGTGGCTATTCAAATAACATCAAGCTAAATTCTGTCTTTCTAATTAATATGTAGAAAGAAAGTTATGATTAATGTGAACTGGGCCATGAATGGAATATCAGGTTTGCAGCCTGAATTCAGAGCGAGTTGAATGAGGAATCTGGTAATTTCTTCCTATTGTAGTAAACCTTTTCTTACTGCTGTCAAACTTCAGCTGTAATGCACAAACAGGAAGCAGACATACTATTAACATAACTTCTGCTTGCTTCCAGTAGTATTTAACAAATGAGTGTTTGTAGTCTTGTAGCATTTCTACTGTGTTAGAGATCGGGGGGAGAATACTGGCATTTGTTTAGCATTAGTTTGGGTCCTGATGAAGAGAAGTAGCAATAAATTAATACCCTAGCAATAAGTTAATACCCTGCCACACATTCAATTTAAGGTGTGATGGAAGCCAGTCACAAAAATGTTACACAATTTGTGGAATATTTTTGGTGACTGGCTTCATGTTTTGTTATGCCATTAATTCCTTGAATGTATAGCAGGGTTACTATTTATGGGACAGTTAAGAGGTTAATTATACCTTAATTGTAATGTCTGGCAGGGACCTTTGTTTCAAAGATGGTTAAAAGAAGGCAAAATGGAAGAAGTTGCTGCAGATTTTATTACACTGAATCCCAGCTAATTTCTGATAAGTTCTGACACGTCTTCCCTTTCACTGATGGTGTATTTCTTACAGGCTTGCTGTAAATTGTGGGTAAATTAAAATCCAGTTGCTAACTTATGCACATATAATGGTTTGTGTAAGTGATACGTTGCTAGCATGTAAACTGAATAAATAAAGTCATTTTCAGCACAAGCAATGCCTTGCATCTTATGTCATCGTATTGTAACATAATACAGATATAACAATATATCATGAGATAATATCAGTTATCCAGCTGAAAACCTGTGGGCACAGTAGCAATCACTTTCAGCCATGTTACTGCCAATTTCAGCCATAGGTATGTTATGGTAGCCTAATGCATAAAAGTTGAAAACAAATGTGAAAAAGCCTATCCTAGTTGTTGAAGCGTCAGATTGGTATTTATGTGGAAAACTGGTCTGACTTAAGTTTCTGGAACACTGTAGAAAGCATTGTGCTTTCTTGCTTTCTGTTTGAACCAGGAAGACGTAAGAACTGGAAGAAAGACATCAGTTTTGACATTCAGCTGGATATCAGTTTCTGTTATATTTTCCAGTGATCTCCTTAAGTTTTGGAATGTGAGCGATAAGGTCAGAATGAGACGGCTCTGAAGAACAGTCCAGCAGTCAACTGTTCAAGCCCTGCATGTGCTTGCTGGGTTGTGACAAAAGTTATAATTTACCAGCTTTGAACAGCATACTGGGATGGGAATCTAGTTTAGTTTTAAAAGGTTGCATATTAAAGCATGTTTGTTGGTCCAGTAAAAGTCAAGGTACAATGCTATCTTGTCTGCAGCTCAGAAAGACTGGCATCACTTAATGCAGATTAGTGCCTAGCTTAAAGATTTTCTGCTTTGCATTACCCTGCTTCAATGACTTATTCAGCTGGAAAATACAGTGAACAAAGCAACTGGAAATATGCTGTCAAGTGAGTGATCTCAGAGACTAGGGAGCCAGATGTTGATTAGAAAGACTTGTTGTGTAACACAAGAGCTGTTGTGTATGAAAACCCAGATCCTATTTTATTCCCTTCATTATTAACTTCTGCCTGATATTTTTGCCTGAGGATAGTCTGTAGTATGTGTGCGGACTTATAATTAATTAGACTTTTCTGATAGGCTAAACAGGTTGAAAAGGGATTTTTTTTTCTTTATTTTCATTCCCTTTTGGAAACTTTTTGATTAAATTTTATTGGCAAGATAGCAAAGCTTGTTCAGTTTAAAAGTTGATTCTGTTTCCCTCATTACTGAATAATACAGTGGTTCCCAAACTGATTTTTGAGACTGTTGTTAGTGGTCTTCAGGTGGTTCATGGTAGCACCACAGCCTCTTACTTTTCTTGTGACTTGGTGCACCAGACACATTGTGTCCACATGTGTGATGCCCCACAGGATTATAGAATTCAGATGATAGTGAGCTTTCACACTTGCTTCTTTGGTCCTTTCAGACCTCCCTTACTTTTTAAGCAATAATTGTGACGTATTTTGTGAGAACTTTTCTTTCCAGGAGCATGATGGTCTGCAGGAAATGTGAAGTCCATTTGTTCAAAAAGTTGGGGTACCACTAGTGCAGAGCGGTGGATTTTTCTTCTTATGTCTATAGGAAATAAAAACAGAATAACATTTTTTCTTTTTGCGTTAAGATTAATATCCATCTCTTACAATATAGCGAATGTTATACATTTGAGCAAAAAAAATTGCTCCGATTTACTATTAAACACTCAGGAATTAAAAACCTCAGGACTGCTTGTAAGAATTAATATTTTTTGTTCAGACTCTGTTCTTTCCATTCTACAAAATTGGATAACATTTTATTTTTTCTGGTTAAATGGTGTATTACTGTTGGTTTTCTTAGACTGTTCAGTACTAGTAAATCAAATATACTGCCTAATAGTATTAATAAGAATTTATTCTTCAAAACTCCAATATCTATATTGGAATGTTTCTGTTTGTACTGATTTGGCCAGATCAGTGAAAGAAACCTTCCCCAGCTGCATTCTAGAAAACGTCTCCAGTGATGATCATTGTATCCACAAATTTAAAACTTTATAAAAAGGGTGAGCTATAAATATTTTAAGGTTCAGTGCCTACTTAACTCTGTGCAGACCTCAAAAACCCTAATGTGTATTTTTCATTGCTTAATTCCTGTTGTTGGTATCAAATCTTAATCATTTACACTGACTGAACTAAATTTAATTCATACTTTAAAGTGAAATCCCAAAGCCGAGGATTAAATGTGGATTCTCTCTTTTAATGCAGGTTGGAAAAGAGACTGTGCAGACAACTGAAGACCAGATCTTGAAAAGGGACATGCCACCAGCATTTATCAAGTAAGCTCATGTAAATAAATGTAATTTACACGACAGATACAGAAAACCTGCTCCATGACTAAGTTAATTATTTGTTTCACTGTGAGGAAGGGGAGGGAAATGTATTTATTTGCTAGGATTCTTTACTATATCTCATATTTGCTTGTAGTTCAAAGGGTGGTAGACTTCCTGCTACAGCTGAGAGTCAGATACTGCTCTTTACTATGACAGCCTTGGCTTTTTTACCTATGATAACTTTTTTATGTGCTTTCCTAGTGTTCCTCCAGAAATAAACAGTAGCATTTTTCCACATGCCCGGATTAAAGAATGCTGAAGAACCTTATAATAAATATTCTTTTCAGCAAAATCTCTACTTATTTTACTGGTTGTGTGTATCAGTGAGAATATAGCCAGTAGATGCTTCATGTCATAGCCTGGAAAACTATTTTCAGATACCTAAAGCTAAGTGACTAGCACTTTTAAAATTAAGTTCAGGACTTAGTATTAATGACACGCTTTTAACATCTGTGGCCCAGAGTCTTTATTTTAGAAATAAAAGTTTCTTGGCTATCGTGACACTGCCAGGCTTGTCACTGGCAAATGACCAATTCATTTAAACGATTTTCTTTCCCCATCCTCTGAATTCACTGGTTACTTTATTGATGCTTTCTACTGACATATGTCAAGTTACTGAATATTTTATTCTATTTTTCTGAGCCACAAGATGCTGAAAATCTGGTTCAGGAAACTCCTAAAGCAAATAATGAAATAATAAATGCAAAATGCTGGGAGCATGATGTTTGCATGTGGGGGGTAGGGATGAGAGGAGGCAAAAATTCTGAAAGAGAAATGTTTCCAAATAAATATGGGGGGGAGTCTTTGAAGAATCATGTACATGGTGGGCTCTGTTTTATGATTTTGGAGAATAGAATTGTGTTGTTATATAAAAAAACTCTTCTTTTGCTATCTCCATTTTCGTAGTGGTTTGGTAGTTATTTTTTACTTAAGAGGGTGGTGAATTAAACTAATGACTGTCTTTGAATTTTTGAGCCAGAACCAACTCTGTTTAATACTTAAAAGCTTCCAGAACATGTAAGAAGTGTGTGTGTGTGTGTGTGTGTGTGTGTGTGTGTGGGGGGGGGGGTAAATATCATCAAGGATATTTAGGCAGTAAGTATGAGGCAATATTAATCAAAGGTGTTTGAAAAAGCACAGTGGGAATTCAGTTACCCTTATTGCATCCAAATGGCATGTACCCAGCTGTGAAAGTGGTGTTTTGGCACTTAATAGAATCACATCCTGTGTTTAATTATGCAGCATGGACATGTAAGCACGCATGCCCTGGACATGTGCAGTAGGCTACACTCAGGTCAAGCAGCTACCTGGCTACATATGAACGGACCCTGGCTTTGGTCCCAGAAAAAAACAAGGAGCAGGAAAGCCCTCCCATCATTTAGTTAGGGGAGGAATCAGGACAGCTGGGTAACAGGACTTCACGCCCAGAGGAGATTTGAATCTGCATCTCTGATTTACTAGCACAGTGAACTAACCACCACTGCATAGCTTAGGCAGTGGCCAGACCCTTCTCTATCTTTCCTTCTGAAACAGAACCACGCCTTTTGTGTTTAATAATCACTGCACTGCTCTTCATCTGTTTTACACAGTGGAAATTTTTCTGTCCTATTGGGAGCAAAGGTCCAGTCTAGAACCTAGGGCCAGGGTGGTACCTAGCTCATTTAGCCTCATACTGTCTAGCGTGTTCTTTTCTTCCTGGCTCCACATGTATTCACCTTTTGGCTTCCCAGGGGGCAACTTCAAAAGGAGGGCTGGAGAGGTCATTGTATGGTACCCTACTCTGTAGTGTTAGGGTTAGAGAGCTAGAGACGCAAAGGTTTGAACCTCCTGTGGGTGAGGGATTGGTTTTAGAAAGCAGGTCTCCTACTGCAGGGTGACTGCTGTAACTGTTTAGCTACCAGAACTAAAACGTGGGAGGGTTCTTCCCTTCCCACACCACCTAGCTAATGCCCTATTAGTCATGGGTTTTTGTCTGGTTACAACTTCATGACTAACTTGTGCTCACTGGGCTTGTATTTAGCTGAATAGCTGTCCTGACACTGTTGCACATGCTCAGGATTTGTGCATATGCTCAGCATCCATTCTGTGCAGATAATAAGAGGATAGAATTGTAAACTGCATATGTACGAAAAATATTACTTTAGCAGCTGGAAAACTTCATTTAAATGCAGATGGGTAATGGCATTGCACCTGACATCTGTTGTCATGCACCTAACAGTCACAAGTTGTTGCTGAATTTAAACAGTTTGGGTCTGATTTACACTGAGGGGAAAAAATAATCTCAGCTGCTCAATCAATAATTAAACCTACTCCATACCACATTTATTTAAAAAATAATATCCTAAAATAAAACAGGTCTAGCACAGGTTCTTAAAAGCAAAATTCAACATGTACAGATTTCCCTCCCCAACCACAGGGGTTAGGTTCCTGGAAGTTCCCATAGTTGGCAAAACCATTGTTGGTAAAACCAGAGACTTGTGGGAAAAATGGGGTTAGGGACTTGAATGGGGCCGTGGCCAGGCTGGGTTGTGGGACCATCCAAACCTGGTGGCAGTGGGAGCCATTCACCTGTATCACTGGATGAGCCGGTAAGTGTGGGGAGAGAGAGATTGAGGCCCTTGTAGGTAGGGAGCTGGGCAGAGCTAGGGATGGTGCCCAGCCGAGTGGTGCTTGGGATTGGGGGTGAAGCAGGATGGGGCCATGAGTGACTCATCCGGGAGAGGGGGAGGGCTGCTGCCCTCAGTGCAGCCTCATGCACAAGAGGTGCAGTGCAAGGCGAGCAATGGCAAGCAAGGAGATCCCTGCTTGGCTTCTCTGCTCCCTGCCGTGCTGACCTGGCATGGCAGGTAGCTGAGAATCCATGTGGAGATCTCTTTGTCCACCACTGCTCACCCTGTGCTGTTCCGGTGATGCACTTCCTGGATATGGGGCTGCACTGAGGACAGTGGCATGGTGCAAAACCAGCAGCAGGCACAGGCTTCTCTGCTCCCTGCCTCACTGGGTTGCAGGGGAGGGAAGCAGGGCACAGCGGCAAGTGGGCCTGCGGTTCCGTGCCACCATGGATAGGGCAACTCCGGCAGCAAGGTGCGGACACAGGGAGCAGAAGCTGAGCCCAGCTGTGGCCTGCTCCTGCCTTGTGGAAAGATCGGGGGCCCACGTGCTCCCCACCACTCCTTGGCTCCCCAGCAGCACACTGCCTCTGGAAGAGCCACCAGACTCCAATTGCCCCACGAGTCGGCCCGGCTGGGGCCCACACTCGGCCCCCCCCCAATTTTTTTCCTCCCTCTGCCTATGAGTAACCACGGAATACCATGGTTACTCAAAACTTTATACCGTGGTAGGCAAAATGGAATACAGAATATTAACCGGGGATCATCAAAACCGTGGTTGGCAAAACTGTGGTAGGTGAGGGAAACCTGTATGACCAAAACCTTTCTCATCTAGCAATCTTTATTTTTAAATGAACTCAGTACATGTTTACAGTTCTCTGTTGATGGTCTTAGAGCTTATTGTTAGCTGTCCTTAAGAGATTTGTCAGTGGTGGCTTCAATGCAGTATTTGTTTCCTCACCCCAGTCTCTTTTTATATTCAACCCTAACTGACTAATGTAACTCAACCTTAACATGGGGGGACCACTGCTGCGGCCCAGGGGAGGGGATGAGTTCAATTTCTTCTTCTCTTTGGATGTCTGTATGTGTGCTCTGGGAGGGGAGGGAACGGGGGGGCTCTTTAATTAGAGTGGCTTTTGGAGCCACTCTAAAGCTCCTGGAGTGTTATGTGTATAAGTGTCCCTGCGTTGAAAAATGGCAGCAGGAGCATTTTAACTAAAGCTCTAGTTAAAGTGCCCCTGGCACAATTTCTAAGAGCAGGGACACTGATGCACGTGACGCTGAAGGTTGCTTGACTACTTGCGTCTGTTCCAACGTGTGTCGGAGCAACCTCGCCACATATGTACAGGCACCCATCACTTTTTTTGCTTCTCTGAGGCTGACCCCACAGGGTGAAAATTTCACCAAATTAGTACAATCTGGTGGTGTTTTGTGAAGCTCTGTAGTACAAATGGGACTGAGATTAACAAATTTACTGTGGCTGGTTAAACAGCCATCAGATGGCAACTTTCATTTTCAACTGACATAAGCCACATTGGAACCGTTGACATAATCATTAAAAACCTGTATCCTATTACATAGTTGTCTCAGCCACCAGGGACCTTGACTAATGCACATAATTTAAATCTTATGTTTTGAAGTCTGTTCATATTATTTGCTTCAGCTTTTATGAAAGGGAAAAATCCTTTGAAAGAAAAAAAAGAGATGCGTTTAAATCTGAGAGCTAGGAGCAGGGCAGCTGCAGGTCTCTTTTCACTCGCAATCAAATATAAATGCTGCCATTTTAATTTGAATTTTATTAGAAAATAAACAGTGGAACTATAGCATGGCTACTAAAATAGTGTTCTTTTAAGTTTTTTCTCTCTCTAGTCTCACTTCATGTAGATTATTGTAGTAGGAATTAAATGAAATCAATTTTTAATCTGATCTCAAAGATTTTAGTTCTGTTATAGGACCATAGGAAAGCAGGGCTAGAAGGGAACCTAGAAAATGTAACTCAAGGCAGGATTATACCTAACTTAATGTTTGTCATTAAGCCAAATGTTTGTCCAGGCTGTTCTTGAAAATTCCTAAGGATAGAGATTCCACAACTTCTTTAGTTCCAATGGTTGACTTCCTTCATGGGCAAAAAGTTCTTCCTAATCCCCAACCTAATTTTCCTCTGCTGCTCCTTGTGGCCATTACTCCTTGTCCTGTCTCCTATAGCCACAGAGAAGAGTCTAGCCCCATCCTCTCTGTAGCCACTCTTTAGGTATTTGAAGTGTTATCAAATTCCCCCCTTGGTCTCTTCTCTACATTAAATGATCAACATTTTTTCAGCCTTTCCTCATAAGCCTT